GTCAGAAGAGTCCAGGAAGGAAGAGACCACGGGGGGCAGAGGGACCCAGAGAAGAACAGTCAGGCGGAAAAGGTGGGACAGGGCTAGGATATTAAGTTGGTGTACAGGGGGCGGAGACTCAGACGGAGCTTCGCCGGTCTAGCCATAAGACGTAGAGTTGCACGCAGCAGCTTGAGAATGGAAACTGTAACTCAATAAAAGACTTTTACAAGTGACCGCTGGCTAGCGTGATCCTCTGTGAGCTAGGATCTGGAAGCAGCTCTGACACACATGAACAAATAATAATGTCTAATCTTTTTTTAAAAAAAATCTAGGCAAAGAAATCAATTTATTCCCATCTCAGTACACTGGCTGATTTTGCAATAGAAATGTTTGATGTTCTTGATGAAATCAACTATCAGTCTTACAATGACTTCGTTCTTCGGGTTGGTAAGTCATACTTTTCAGGAATTAGGGGTTGACTGGTTGGTTTTGAAGCATGCCCTCGATGATGTATTAGTGGTGAATTTATACTGGACCATCCACACTCACTGTTGCTGTATTTGTTGTTCTGCAATGCTTCCCCTCTTTTTGAGCATTATTGCTATCTGAAGGGGCATTCTTGCACTTTAGCACAGCAAAAGCAGGACAAAAAATAATTGTGGTATGAAAAGTGACAGGACATAAATGTACTTCTGACAAAGCAGTATGGCCACCCTGAAACTTTTACAGGAGCAAATGGTATTGAAAGAGTGATTTCATATTAATCATAATGAATACACAATAAAAATGATGTCTGGAGGGGCCCTAATTCTATATGGCTGCTGTTGCTGGGGCTGATGCCAGAATTCATGGCAGATTTGTACAAACAGAAGAACTTCTGAAATAATATTGAAGTGTTTATAGCAGCATGATCTAAACTATGTTCTTCTGCGTGTCTAAACACCTGGGAAACAATTCTACACAGCTTTGGCTGTGAATGAGTTTATAAATCTGTAAAATAAACAAGCTACTCATAATTTAATTGGAAACAAGGAAGGGAAAATTAGAAGAAAATCACTTCTCAGAACAGGAATTTCAGACTTAGTCACATGGCTGGGACAAGGATCCAGAGATAGGCAGAAGCTCGCAAGCAGCAAAGAAAGGGACATCCACTTAGAGACATCTTAAAAACATTAAGCAGTTCAGAACTGATTTTCAATAATCAAATTCCCTAGATGGTCTCTTATTAAATGCTTTGAAGACCTGGCTTTTTAAGGTATTAGGTTCTCATTAAAGAAGCATCTGACTTGAATCCGGTCTCATGTCATTTCCCTACCTCTGCTGCTGCCACCACCCTCTGTTAGTCACATGACAATGCCATTCACAAAGGGATCTCCAATGCAGCAAAGACAGTTGCTAGATGGGGCAGAAGCCGTGGTCTGGCCTCCCTCTGCTGCTTATCGGCCAGCAGGGAGAGGGGTGAGGCAGCAGTGAGGTCAGCCCGCCCCCCATGCAGACACACCAGAAGGATCTTCCCAAGTGGGAGAATAGGGGCATTCAATGACTTTTCAAAAGTGTTGGTGGGAAGGGATTATTGGTCTGCTATGCGGTGGTTGTGTCATGTATTATGTGTTTTGTGTTTCCATTTTGGTTTTTTATGTTGTGAACTGCCCTGTGATCTTTAGAAGGGCAGTACACAAATTTATATTATAATAATTATAACAACAACAACAATAAATGTGACATGAATTGTCATTCACAAGTTACAAGAAATGAGATTTTTACAAAGCATCAGGAAGAACTTTCTGGTGGTAAGGGCTGTTAAACAGTGGAACAGACTCCCACAAGAGGTGGTGGACCCTCCTCCCTTGGAGGCTTTGAAGCAGAGGTTGAGTGGCCATCTGTCATGGATGCTTCAGTTGAGATTCCTGATTGCAGAGGGTTAGACTAGAGGACTCTCAGGGTCTCTTCCAACTCTACAATGCTATGATTCCACCTTTAGCTATCAAAGTGACAGCTTAATTGTGTGAATAAATGATTTGTGGTACATATCAAAATATGTATAGTAATTTACAGTATCAAATGATGTCTGTGTCTGTCCCAGAATCTATGGCCAAGGTCCTGGAAGGTGTGAAATAATAGCAAAGAAAAATGCCTGTGTGCATGTGCCATTTCATTTACCCTCTCCAGCAAATAAGGTTCTGTCTACTTAGGAGTCTTCTAAGAAATCTTGAGCCTTAGCACATCTTATTTAAAAAAAAAAAAAAACTGCAGGAAAGGGAAGTGTATAAATGAGGAACATTCTGTTTAGCATCTGCTATGCTTTTTAGATATATGAAATAGATATTGGAGCAAACATTAAATAAAGGAATGGCCACTGTTCCCATTTCAGGTATTAACGTGGGCCCTGTAGTGGCTGGGGTCATTGGTGCTAGAAGACCACAGTATGATATCTGGGGTAACACTGTAAATGTTGCCAGTAGAATGGATAGTACTGGAGTGCAAGGTAAAATTCAGGTGAGTGTTTTCATCATCCTTCAAAACTACATCAGTCTATATGGAAGAGCTAAACAGTGGCTTGCTATTCAGGCTACTTGTGAGGTTCCACCTACTGCATTTGAACGGCTTCCTGCATGTGCCAGATAAATCTATCTGTACAGTGGTACCTCGGGTTACATACGCTTCAGGTTACATACGCTTCAGGATACAGACTACTAACCCAGAAATAATACCTCGGGTTAAGAACTTTGCTTCAGGATGAGAACAGAAATCGCACGACGGCGGCGTAGCAGCAGCAGCGGGAGGCCCCATTAGCTAAAGTGGTTAAGAACAGTTTCAGGTTAAGAACGGACCTCCAGAACGAATCAAGTACGTAGCAAGAGGTACCACTGTACTAGAACAATGGCACCAGCTCTTCTTGAGAGGAAGACAGCTTTGGCCCTAACTGCAAAAATGTCCCCAAGTGCTGGGTTGGAACTAAACAGGCTTCTTTCCACCAGCTGATTGAAGGCATCAGAATTAAGCCACCTCTTTGCACAACTCCACCCCCTAATATGCATAGTCCCATCTAGGGTTACATTTCTTGGTTATGCTTTTTTTAATGCATATCAGAGAACAGTGCATTAATAAAAGCAACCATTAGAAACAAAATATATTGTCATGGACAGGTTGGACATGGTGGGAGGAACTGGCTGAAGAACCCCCAAGGGAAGAAGGCTCAGAGCCAGGAGGTTGGTAGTGGGACAAGGATGAGTGGTCAGAGGGAGAAGAGCCTGGGAGGAGGAGGTTGCAGAAGCTGAAGAGGTAACAGGGTTTAGTGAGCGGGAGGAGTCTGTGGCAGAGAGAAGTCCAGACTCAGAGGCAAAAGCTGAAGCAGAAGAGTGGAAGGAGGGAGGCCAAGAGGCAGAGAGGAGTCAGGCTGGTGAAGAGTCTCCCATTCCCTGCTGCAACAAGCTCCCCTTCCCCTTGACTCACAGAACCAGGAGAGGGATGAAATGGGAGGAGCAAAGACTGGCTGCATGCAGGCACGGTCTCTGATTGCTTGCAGGAAGCCCTGGATAGGAGGAGGCTGTGGGGAGGTGGGGGCATTTCATCTCAGCCACTGATTTCATGGAGTAGGACCTACAGGGCATGAGCTGCTGTGCTCATTATGCCTGAAACATAGTCAAGTCTGTGAAGATCATGTTTCACTAATAATGAGCTAACTCCAGCTTTGAACTGTGTGATTTACTGACCAGCTTGCTCTGTTATACTACAGCTAGCAGGGGCAGAAAATAATTCTCTATTACCACCAAAGCAAAGGTGCGAGGGCGTTCTTTCCCCTGTAGGCAGACATCTTTCTTTGCCCAAGAATACCTCTGGGAAAAGCACATCCTCCTGCAGCATCATTAGCCAGGAAGCAGAGTGTCTTGCCATCACTAGGAGCAATAGGAAAGCTTTTTATTCAAAGTAAAAATGATGAGGGAAGCATCTTCGTCACCTTTCATAAAGTTACGCCCCCCCCACACACACACACACAGAGAGAGAGAGAGAGAGAGAGAGAGAGAATCACCCCAATCTTTGTTGGCCTTCTTCCTACCTCAAAAAAACATCTGGGCCAAAAGGTTCAGTGCAGCGTAGTCTAATATGTCACAAATGATTTTTGTTCCTTTTATTCACAGGTTACAGAAGAAGTCCAGAGGATACTGAGGAGGTGCAGTTATGACTTTGTATGTCGGGGTAAAGTCAGTGTCAAAGGCAAAGGTGAAATGCTGACCTATTTCCTAGAAGGAAAGGCCAATGGAAGCAATTCGCTAACACGGTCATTTAACTTAGAGCGGAAAATGTACCCTTATGGGCGAGCAAACATTCAGACTAAACTGGGCACCAGTTGCCCATCTATGTCCTCATCTCCCAGCCTTTCAGCAAATGCCGTTGCTGGGACACTTCAAGCCCCGTCCACCCACACCAATCTGACGCTGCACTATCTTCCCTCTGTGCCGGCCATAAAAGAGGCATGAGAACCATGAAGATTTTGGCTGGGCCATTGCAGTGATCGCAGAGAGCAGAGGTCACCTGGATTTTCACAAGGAAGCTGAAGACTACAGGATTTGGTGTCAACTAAGATGTCTACAATCCAACCAAAGAGAACCTGGGAACACCGTATATGAATTTGTGGATCAAATAAGGGCTAGCAATTCTGTTAAGAAAAGTCTACTGCTGATTTTCTGAAGAAAAGGAAAATTTTATCAGCAAATCTAAAGGGTAAATGAATTAACAGAAAAAGTCATGGTGAGACTGGCTGTGTGTGTGTGTGTGTGTGTGAGAGAGAGAGAGAGAGAGAGAGAGAGAGAGAGAAAGAAAGAAGAAAGAAAGAAAGAAAGAAAGAAAGAAAGAAAGAAAGAAAGAAATTGTCAATTTTTGGCAAATCCTGCGATTGGTGACTGTCGGTATTCATTCAGAAAACTATAAAAGCAATGCTGGAAATAATAGTGACACAACACAGTTGAGAGAGAAGGGTGATGTGTGTAGATACATGTATCTAATGCACACATCTATATATATATTTATATATTTCCTATATAAAGATGGGAGAGGTTTATAGTTATAGAAAATTGACGTCCTGCAATGGCAAAGAGGAAGAATGCTCTTATAATCATATCCAATGTGGTTGCCTCTAAAATGTCTGTAGCTGATGTTTGAGGGAGGGCGTGTAAGGACAAATGAGACATATCTGAGGTTTAAGGAAGCAGTGTAGAGTCCCTTCACACAACATTTGGGGGGGGGCAAGAAATTTTTGGCAATGTCTTTAATATAGGAAGTAGCAAGTCCTCAGGTAAACAAATGTAGTTCTTTAAAAAAATGTGTTTTTTCAAATATTTAACAATGAGTCTTTGATGAGGCTGCAGGTCGATTCACTGGAATCTATTGTAATAAATCAGAATCTAGCTTTGTAAGACTTCATTCTCACTCTAGAGAGGCAGCTGCTGCACTCTTAAGAGGTGGTCTGTGTGATTGGAGTTTCCATGTGATTTCTGGGCTAAGCCTAACTTGCCTCTGGATAAATGCTGCAAAGTGGCAGGCATAGGAATGCCAAGAGAGTATTAAGGTAGGATTTATGCCTTTTCAGCAGGTCAAACAGCTGGCCATTTGTCTGTATAGTCTTTTATTAGAAGCATTTGCCAACATATGCATTTAGGTGATTCAGTTCCACTGAATAGGAGAATTCTGCTCATGAACAGAACTTGTTCCATTCATGAAATGGAACATTTGGATCTCTCCATATTGTTTGATGCCAGAGTTTTGCAGAACTCTGTTTCTGCACAAGGGTTCTTCTCACCTGCCATTTGGAGATTCTCACCGGCAAACTTAGAGTGGAGACTTCATTTGTTTGTTTTCTAGATCAGATGTTTAACCTGATATTTTCATAGGGTGACTCAATAATGTACCAGCACATCTTTTTGCACAATATTGATTCGGGTGTCTCGAATGGAAGTAATATCTTTTCATAATAACATTGCAAATTTGACCTCTTTGGGGAAATGTCAGCCCACAGGGTGGGCTGTGTATGTTTGTGTGTTGCACATGGATGCATACTTTACCCATTTTCTGATCTCATGAGTATTAATTCATGCCATTGTATGCAGCTCACCTGGGAAGCCCTATTAATACGAGTGGGATTTGCACAAGAGCAAACGTTCTCCTTTGTAGCTCACCCCCGTTTTGGCACTTGCTCTTCAGTAAGATGGTTGCAGTAGATCAAATACCAGCAGGAAGTGCAAGGTCTGGGAGCCCAGGAACCAGCTTCCCTGCTAAAGTGTGACTAGAGAGTGATTTGGAAACAGCAAGAGGAAGGGGGCTCAACCCTTATCTTTCCCAGTGCCCTTTCTCCTGAGCCAGCTTTCCCTTGCTAGAGTCCGTTTTCCCCAGCGGACAACCTGGCAAGGAGAATATCCAGAGGTTTGTTGTTTATGTTTCCTCCTCCCCTAAACTGCATTTGTCTTAATCCCCATCAGCATTACTTACAGGAACTATAGTCTGGTTGGAAACAACTGCCACTTTCTTTTCTTACTGTGAGGAAATGCCTCGTGTTGTAGTTTGGCACATCTCAAGAACAGCTACATGAAACAACCTTTGGGAAGCTTTCTTAATTGACTTTTAGTGAGTTCTTTCTTGTATGCACAGGAAGTTGGAAGCAACAGTGTGCTAAAACCAGTAGAATTCTATCTAAAGCTGCTAAAAGATGTTGGAGAGCTTGGTGCAATAATTTGGTGTCTCAAAATAGTCTAGGGGCACCACCAAACTGCTCTCTTGCCTGGTTTCCATTCATTTCATTGCAGCTTTTCCAGAAGTTGTTGGTGAATCCACAGCTTGTGCCCACTTTTAGAACAGTCATTTCAGTGTGGTGATCATCTTGTTAATCTTAATTTCAAAATGCATACGTCACTATTGCTAGCACAAACAGGCTTCTGAAGTGGCTTGTGATAACAATTGGATAGGATTTATAATCTGCTTTAGGTCAAGAGAAAAACTTACACCTGTTTCATTAAGCTCTAAGACAAGGGGGTAAATCTCTGGTCCCCCAGATGCTGGTGAACTGCAACTGACCTCGTCGCTGGCCATTGACTAGGCTGGCTCAGGGGAGTCCAGCAACATCTGGAAAACTCTATGTTCCACATCTGGGATCTAGGACATGACAACTTTTACCAGGGGGTTAATAGGAACATCTGTTGTCAAATAAAGTCTTAGTTCCATTGAGCCAATATTACACCTCTGACATGATTTAAAACTGTTATATGGTGGATTTGGGGGAGCAAACATTTTCGCTTCAAAAAAGGTTAATTCCCCCTCCAATGTTTCCCTTTCTCCCCAGTTTCGAAAAAAAAATTCCCCCTTGGGTCAAAAATGGGGGGGGGGGATTTTTATGGGGGAAGTGTAGAATTTCTCATTGATAGTGCAGGGGAAGAGGATAGTAATTCAGAGCAGCCAAGACACTGCAGATCAGAGGCAACAGAAGACAGACCCTGTCTATACAGTAGATGTCTTTACACACCAATGCTAGAAGCCTCCCAGCCAAGATGTTCTTAAGAGGATGGAATTAATATAGTGGGTGAGAACCAGTAGAACATGGCTCTCTCTGGATACGAGCTCCCCAGGATGTGCAGGAGGTGGTGTTGCTCAGTCCTTCAAAGAGAGCATGAAGTCCAGCAAGGGGCAGGAAATGTTGTTGTGGCGAGTCTTCCACCACTTTCAGGTAGGTGGGGCATTCATGTGTTCCAGTCACAGCAAAGCAGTGACATTCCCCATGGGGATGAAATGAACATGACTTGCTCATAACACTCTCATTGTTGTGTTTGTGGTCCCTGTCCAGCAAAGGTAAAGAATTTAGAGCATTGCTGACTTCATTCTTCACTACATAAATGGTGAACTTACTTGTACTATTTCTTCCTCCATTTGGAGATTTATAACTCGATGAAAGCAGGAAGATGTGGTCCTGGTTCTCTCCCCCCCCCCCGCCCCCAGTTCAGGGCATGATGCAGAATTATTAAAGGTGAAGAATTCTGGTGCAGGGAACTATACCAATACTTTTTGTTTTGTTAGGAATTTGTGGGTTTAAAACTTGGCTTTGGGCACATGTCATGGATGGCATAGAAAACATATCAGCTAGGAAGCTAGACAATAACTTGGTTGCCTCTTCTCAACAAGATCAAAACAGCATCACCAGACTCCACCCAGATACAAATAAGCCCAGTCAAACTACTGAATGGCACTGGCCTAGTGGTGGGGTACCTTTTCTGGTGAGGAGACCCTACCTCCAGTTGTTGGAGGTCCAAAGAGCAGCACTGGCCTGTTTGAAAGTCCTTTTGCAAACAGCTCCCCATGGAACCTCTGAAAACTAGAGGTTTAAAGAGCAGCATGAGGCTCTTTGCAAAGGGGATTTTGAACAGGCCCACACTGGGCATTGGCTGCATGTACCTGGTCCCAGCAGGAGAACTGAGCAGGATGTAACCAGTTAATCACCAGTGGTTAAATCCTGCTGCTTTGACTACATGTATCAGTTCCCAGCTGGGAAAGTTGTGCTCGCAGCTGACACAGAATCAAGCCCCACCCCCCACACTCATCAGTTGTCATTGCAGCCCCCATCCAAGTGACATCCAAGTGATTGGCAGGTGGGCATGGCTTAATTTTTTAGAGGCCCTGAGGGGGAAAATTGACACCCACCCACGCACCCTTAATGGGTCAAGACTGGCCCATCAAAAGCTTCCTCGCAAGGTGGCATGAAAATGTTTGCTTCCACCATTTGGCTCATTTCTAACTGAAAATGTGACTTTGTGTGTGTGCTTCTCCAGTCCATGTCCTAAGAGAAAGCTTGTAATGCCTCATAAAAGACCTGGTTCTTTCCTACAGTGCATGGATGTGATTCCCATTTTCATGAAGTAAGATCAAATAGATTCATAATAAGAGCAGCCACCTTCATTGGATATGGAATCATATGAGCAGCTGTTTTAAAATACTGTCATTTGGCAAGCTATTTATTAGGGGTCCGTCAATAGCAAGCACAATATTTCACATGAGTTGCACAATTTTTCTGTTAATAAGGTATTTGTAATAATTAAAAGCCTTTTATTGGAGGTCTTTGGGGAAACTAATTGCAAATGTTCCTGTGGTAACTTTTTTTATTCTTATCTTGGAGATTATGAACAGACATTGAATTCTATTATTAGTTAAGTACTTGCAAATATTTCAATATTTGAATCAGCCACACATTAAAAAAGAAAATAATTTCAGTGCTGGGGATATTGAGGATTAAGTTTTGATTCCAATGAATTCCAAAATCTGCTGTTTGTCTTACATTTGAATGGTGACTGTATGCATTAAAGGCAGGTTTGGGTTCACATCTTCTGCCTTGACAATACAGATGAGGAAATAATGTGAGGAAATAACAGTGTTATTTAAAAAGCCTATGGTGTGTGCCATGCCATCCTTCTCAGGGGCCAGGCTCACACGTGAGGTCCTCAAAGATCTTGTGCATGTAATGGAGGAGGGGGTGTGCCTCCCTGCCCCACTGGGTATGGGGAGCCGCATCTGAGCTGATCCACATGTTGGCTCCCTTTGTGCATCGCTTCCATCTTGCCACCTGTTAATAGCACAGATTGCACCTAGGCTTAAGCACTCATGTTGCACATTACTTCATACCTATTAGGTAATCAATCCTTATTGTTGTTTAGCTCTAGGCTATTCCAAATTAATGGTAAACAAATGGGATCTATACATCTAAGCATATACTATAAAGAGCAAAAGACTGATATGACAAACCAGGTCTCCCACAAGAGCCAATAAAATGTGTAAAACATAACCCAAGTGTATAATTACATAATGCCCAGCATCCTTATTCGTGTGGGGTTTGTTTGGGTGTGTGTGTGTGTGTGTGTGTGTGTGTGTGTGTTATACACTCTTATTCTGCCACCACATAAATAGAGCCCTGTTCATGTGAATTGGTCCTAAGTACAGTGATACCTTGGTTCTCAAACTTAATATGTTCCGGAAGTCCGTTCCAAAACCGAAGCGTTCCAAAACCAAGGCACGCTTTCCCATAGAAAGTAATGCAAAATGGATTAATCCGTTCCAGACTTTTAAAAACAACCCCTAAAATTTTTAACATGATTTTTACTATCTAACAAGACCATTAATCCATAAATTAAAGCAATAATCAATGCACTGCACTATAAAATAAATAAGACAGTATTGTAGATGATAAAAATAAAAATTAATTTTTTTCTTACCTGCACTGATGATAGTCATTGTTTGGATGGGGGCTTTTATCCATTTCTGCAGTCACACAATCAATCAATCAATAGCTGAACTGGGTTTCACACAGTCACAAAAACAAATTAACTGAAAAAGCCTCAAAAACAAAAAAGCAAAATAAATAGCAAAAACAAAAGTGCCAAACTTAATCCGTTGTGAAAGTCTGTTTAACTTCCGAAATGTTTGAAAACCAAGGCGCAGCTTCTGATTTGTGCAGGTGCCCCGAAAACAATAGCTGACAGCCGCATCGGGCGGTGGGAACCAAGGTGTTTGAGAACCAAGGTACCACTGTAGGTGAATTAAGGCCCCCTGCACACCCTGCATTTAAAGCACTATAGTGCCCCTTTAAACAGTCATGGCTTCCCCCAAAATATCCTGGGAGCTGCAGTTCATTATGGAGCTGAAAGTTCTTAGGACCCCACCCCTCTGCCAAGTTAGAATTCCCAGTGTGCTTTAACAATCCCTCTTCAGGAAAGAAATTGTAGCTCGTGTGGGGCATGGAATAGGGGTCTCATACCCACTCCCAGCACCCTTAGCAAACTACAGTTCCCCTAATTCTTTTGGGGAAGCCTTGGCTGCTTAAAATGGTATCCTAGCAGTTGCATGGTTGTGACTCTACAATCCATGGTTGTGACTCTACAAAGACTCAACAAATGAGTAATTGCTGTCACTCATTCAGTTGCTTGACTTTAGTTAGTGTATGTACCAATTTGAGCAAGACTCTAAGGGTATAAAATGCATGTGAAATGGAGTGTGCAATGCCTCCACGGGATGTTTCTGCACTGCCTCCAAGTCCAATGGCATCTAATCTTTGGACGTAATGTTCACATCACAGAATCAATTAGAATGTGAACAGGACACACACACACACACCCAAAAAAGAAAGGCTTGGAGGGAAAACTTCCATTGCCTTGCACTCAGAGCAAAACTGGATCTCTATTCACATAAAATGGTAACCAAATCAAAATAAGGGATCTGTCCAGATCAAGTGAAGTACCACTTTTTTCTACCTTGGTGAGACCCCAACTGGAGTCCTGTGTCCAGTTCTGGGCACCACAATTTAAGGTGGACTTTGACAAACTGGAACGTGTGCAGAAGGCAACAAAGATGATTAGGGGTCTGGAAACCAAGCCTTATGAGGAACAGTTGAAGGAGTTTGGGAGAGAAGACTAGGAGGTGATAGGTTGTAGAGGTTCTTGGAGGTTTTTAAGCAGAGGTTGGATGGCCATCTGTAATGGATACTTTAGTTGAGATTCCTGCATTGCAGGGGGTTGGACTAGATGACCCTCGGGGTCCCTTCCAACCCTATGGACCCAAAGTTTGAATGACTCAGGTCCCTGAACTGCATTGGTGTAGGGGAGCAGTGGGGAAGCTCCTGTTTGTGGGACTAGTTGGGCCCAGCGGGGTCTTAATCTCACCCAAGCCACACCCTCCTTCTGTGCAATAAGCTGATCCGCATCCCTTGCAGGTCCATTGCCTTTGCAGGGGTGGTTTGATTTCCGGGCAAAGGCATTGCAGGTGTTGCTGATCACTGATCATTTGCACCTGCAAAGCCACGTGCGTGATTAGATTTCTAGCCACATGGGCAAAGGAAAACATGGCTCAAGTGACTGGCAGCCTCAGGGTGTGTCCTGGCACCTGGGAAGCATCTCCTACCCCTAGCCTAGGGGCACAAGACCCCATGTGCGGTAATTGTTCAGTGGACTTATTTGTGTTCAGAGCTGCACATTTAGGGTTTATGGGTCTGGGATTTCATGCCTGGGAGGCCCTGTGCAAATGTTGCCTCCAATGCCCAGACATCCGCCCTACCCAGAGGCAATAAGCCCACTCAGCTGGGGCAGGAGCAGCTCCAGTTTCTCACTGTACATGTTCTCTATGCTCTTAAGAGTCTCATCTGAACCAGCCTTAAAACATTAACCCAGCATTAGGAATCCAAATTCTTTTTCATTTCCAGTCCTAACCAGAGGACTATTTAGCCATAAATATTCTTTCAAGTTACAGTTTTATATTGTAGTGGCAAGTAACTTTTTAAATTTAAAATAAAACTGTATTATAACGCCTTATTTATTTTTAATCTTGTACACTATTACATATTGGCCTTTCATGTAGTCTTATTAATTATTATTTTATTTAAAGGATGTATGAAATTTTGTAAATACTTTTAGCTATGACAGGTTTGTTGCATGTACACTACGAGTCTTTAAAAAGGCACACGTTTAACAGATGCTAATTTTTTTTTGTAAACAGAGGTTTTACATGTGCATGAAGATTATAAACCCTTTTGCTTCTCTTCTGCAATCTACTTACTGCATGCCACTCATGCCTGACTTCAGTTTTTTAAAAAAAAATGTGAAAGAGTAAGTATCTTTCTATATGTTTTTGACATATCAGTTTAACACATTGTTTCTAAGGCACTACTAGTTGCATGTGTATACTGCAAAGCAAACATAAAATTACAAAGCAACACCACAAGGAAACCTTCACCTGCAACGTTCTGCCAACCTCAGTGTTGCTCTGTCTACAGTATACAATATATAAAATGTGCTCTCAACATCTATGCTACCTTTGTTTATTAGAAGCAATAAACTAAACTCCATATACTGTTTTGTGTGCGCGTGCGCACGCGTGTGTGTGTATATGTGTGTGTGTGTGTGTGTGTGTGTGTGTGTGTGTGTGTGTATATATATATATATATATATATATATATATATATATTTCTACCAATTCATTCAGTACTGATTGTTATCTTGTTTGACTTGACAGTATAAGTAAATGTTTGATTTTGGGAAATCCCCAAATGCCAGAGCACACAATTGTCTCTGTAGACATGAAGCTGCTTTGGGGTCTGCCCACACTTCCGCTGGTGCTGTGCCTAGAAAGCCTGGGTTTGAGTGTTTTGAGCGTGACCTGCTCCTTTCCCAAGGAAAACCTGCTCTTGAGGGATAGATCAGAACAAATGGCAGTTGGGGAGATGGGGACCCCAATTGCCATTTTGCTCCACTTGAGTGCTAAAGAGCAGTTTGCTTCGGGGTGAGAAGCAGTGGGACGAGAGGACGTGTGGGTGAAGGCTTAGACGGAGACCACTGTTTTCTCTACCCCAAATATTCTCATTGGCAGCAATTCCCCCAAGTTCTCAAGCAGGAGTCTTTTCTCGTGCTGCTCCCTTGGCCCTTCGAGCTAGGAATTTTTGAACAAATGAAGCTGACCTGCAGCAAGTCAGGTCATTCACTTCAATGTTTGGCAGCAGCCTCAGATTCCCCCCAGCTCTGCTACCTACATTTACCTGGATATGTCAAGGGTTGCACCTGGTAGCCTCTGCATGCAATGCATGGACTCTACCGCTAAGCTATGGGCTCCCCCCCCCCCATGGAAAGATGAGTTTGCCCTCAAAGGCATTTGCAGGTCCTGCAAGAAGGACCTTGAGGGAGGAAGGTCCAGGCCTTAGTTCCATCAGGCTGCAAGCAGGCGGAACTGCCTTGAAGAAAACGGGGAGGGGGAGAAATAGCACCATTCAAGTTACCCAAATGCTTCTGTCAGTGGTAATAGTTGTTACTAGTTGTTGTATCCGTGACACAAAATATATGAAGAAATGGTTTTCGGTTGTTATAGATTGCTGAATATAGTTTTGAGTCAATGCCTTATTTCTTTGATTCATATGGTTCCAAAATGAACTGTGGTACCAAAAATAAAGTGCTGGGCTGAACTGTAGGATTTAAAAATAATACCAGATTTTCATTTTGCCTTTTCTTTTCTTTTCTTTTCTTTCTGGGAGTTTTCTAAATAAACTTCAGGACTGCAATCTCAGTCATGCTTCTGAACATGTATGTCTCAGTAAGATATACTTTCAAGTAGGCATGCTATAGTCCCAAGCACTTCCAGTTAAACCAGAAACAACACTTTCAATTATTGCTCTTGAGGTTCCTCCTAATGTCATTTACGCCTGTGCAATGATAATATGATAGCAGGATGTCCTGATGAACAAATTTTGATATTCAAAAGTTGTAATTCATTTTCTTACAAGGAGGTTTTGGACATCCAGAAGTATGATATACATATGCAAATATGCCGTTAATTGTGGTGATGGTTATTATTTCCTTAAATTTTAAGTTTTATTACACAACTTGCATATTTTGTTTGCTTCTTTTGTTTGA